CTCGCGATTGCTGAACAAGAAAACGACACATTCATATTCCAATGCCGAGGTTAAGAGAAAGTCGATCTTGGGAACTGTTAGGGAAGTTCGGAACATTCGATATGGTGATCTCGTTATGGCACATAAGAACTACTTCACTAAGAAATCTGAATCTTTTTTGCTTACTCGAAAAACTAGTAAAGTATTTTAGAGCAGTTCATCATTCTATGATGAAAAATAGATATAGGTTGACAATCGACAACGTCCATTCTTGTGATCTCAATCCCTATGAAATGCTGCGAGACCTGACATCTTATTACAAGGGATTGGTTTCGTTGAACAAAAAGGGAAAGCAATTGTTATTTTTTTTTAACACGGTGGAGTTGTCGTGTTTGTGTATGGCTGAGATTGTAGTTGAGGATTATTTTCTAATGGCTTTTTTTTCCAGAGAAGGACAAAATGTAGATGACAGCGAACCGACACATGAAGTCGGATCAATATCGCCGTATCGAAGAAACGCATTGAATCCTGAAGATGAAGGCCAATTGCCAGACACGAAACGCCACAAGAAGACGAGTATCGGTCAGTTCAGGAGAGAATCACTCTAGTTTTCTTTCTTTACAAGAAGACAGTTCACGTCCTCTTATAACATAATGGAATTTTCTTTTTCTTCTACGTAGTAGTTTATATCATGGATGTTCAAATGAGAAGAATTAAGAATGATGTGGCAGCAGTTCGATAATGGATATCATCACTCAGTTCCATTGGAGTGGTATTCTGGCTGATAAGAAAACCGGATTTAAAGTTTAAATTTTCAATATTTTTTGTTGAAAAGTGTTCTTTTGGTGAGGAATAAATGCGACTACCTCAGTCGGCTACAACTGTGCTTTCATTTCTTGATTCTGAAGGGTTCTTCAATTTTCACGCACCTTAAGCTCCAAAAATTGCTCAGTCTTTTAGGTGAGGTGAAAATTTCGTAAGGGCTTGTTAGTTGCTTTGCTTTACCGGTAACTGATTACTCATTTTTCAGATGGTTTTGTTGAAGACGTCTTTTGTCAAAAACCAGCACAACACTAATTGATTTTGAAACCAGCTTATCCGAAAATAATAGCTCCTTCTAAGTTAAAACAGTGATTACTGAGCTCAATTTATTGATTGGAATGAGAAAGTTTAGGATTCACAGATCTTTGCCATTAGGCATTCGATATGTTGTATCCCATTAGGTCTAAACTATCATTTTCTGAAACTTTCTTTCCTTTTCTTGTTCAAACGAGGATTTCGAGTAGTGTAGTGAGGTTAAGAAAACGGGGCTTTCGCCCAATGGAACATGATGACTCCTCCAAAGGTATCGTTGTCGTTCGCAGCTGAGGTGCTTACGAGTAAATCATCAATGGTTTGAATTTTGGACAAGCTTTTAATCAGAATAACATATCAGGGATAACTTCGTATATTACGAGAACAATAAGAAAAAGTGCTCCAAATTCTTCTTCTGTTTCCCAATTAAAATTCTGTCAATTTTGTGGTTTCCTCAAACCCGTATGTTATCGAAAAATTGTCGGCATTTATAAAAGATCAGCGTGAATTTATTAATAGAGCGTGAGATTGAATAACGGGTTCTGGATAACACCATGCTCAAGAGGACCCACTGTCGTCTCTTTCTTTTCTTGCCTGTCGTGAAACAAATGACAGTTATGACCTTACACCATCCGTATGGCATGATACGCTGGCTAATCTCGTGATACAAAATATGCAATACCAAATAGAACAACTTACGAACAAAACAAATATAACGGCGTAAACTCTTTATAAAAGGGCGCACGGTATTCCAATTATGACAGAGAATAGTCTCTTGACTCTTCACCGCCATAATTTGTACAATATAAATGGCAAAGGCTGAGTAGTTCCTTCGAAAATTTACGAGGCAGAGGCATTTCAGGAATAGTGAACGTCTTCTGAGGTGTAGTTCTTTTACAATTCGCGGTTTATCGGTCTTTTTCATTTATTCTCTCTGAAACGCCAGCAGAAACATTAAATGATTCGTTTAAATTGATCGCCTTCTGTTTTCCGTTTCATTAGCACGGAGATAAGTCGTCGATATAGTACACGACAATGATGACGGTTAAATTGGATTGTGTACCACACATAAGGTGAAGAGACATCGGACCATTTCATATTGGGTTTTCCGTTCGAACGTTCTCACTTCCTCACGCATGATCAACTTGGAAAAACGATGTTTTCGTTTCGACATTTTCTCTTCACGTCTTGCATGCATAATCACTTTTAGGAACGATGTTTTTGAAGTGATTTCGGAAATTCGCCTTCGTTTAGCTGATTCGTTCCGATAGAGCAATGCTCGGCAAAGTCATCAACGGCACATAGAAAGCATTTTGAGTCAGGAGTGTTTAGCAAGCGCATCACATTAGATGGCGATTACAATGTTTGTTTGCCTTCTCTGTAACAGAGGAAGAGGGAGAAAGAGAGAGAAAGAAAGAAGAGAGAGGGAATGAAATGTCTTTGCAAAATATCTGACTTGTAATAAATCGAATGAAATTGAATTTACTGGCCGTCTAAAAGGTTATGAATAGTGACAAGGCCACGCGGGATAAAATGTAATAGTTGCTTATTGACGAGTTGATTTTCCGATGATGTCTTCTATAAAAATTTCAGTGCATTTTCATTGATGCGGTATCGGGTTTTGTTGTTGTAACTGATTTCATTCTTCAACACCGTGGCGCAGCTATAGGCGCAATGTATCTGTGCCTGGGGATTTTAATTTTAGAGGAATTTAAAAATTCAAAACGAAATTTCTTGCGGTTCTGAATTGTTGGAACATGCTTTTAAAGCACATCTAGCTTTATAGAGTAAAGAAATTTGATGGCATATCTTAAAGATACAAGAAATCATTGGATAGTTAACATAACTCCATTCTAAAAGTAGAATCGGGTCCGTGTATCGCTCGTGTGCCGCAGAGTTTAGAGCAGCCAGACAGTGCAAACATGCTTGTTGTTTTGACCACGCACTCTGAACTAAGCTAGCCTTCTATCCCTCGTGTGTCCGCAAATCGTTGCCAGATTTGTTTTGGAGGAAGAGCTCTGATTTGATAGATTGACAGTCCCTCTAAGTAATTGCATAAGTTAGATATGGATTCAATCACTTCTATGATGTTATGAATGAAGTAGAATGCACGGAGCGTCTCCAAACTACTTATCGAAGCGAAGTGCTTTAGCTTTCATCCCTTTAAACTCTGTGGTGTTTACAATGCACTCCACAAAGTTGCATAAGTACCTAAAAACAAGGAATTTCCCGAGTTTTGAGTGAAATTCAATGCTCGTTCAGATCTTGACATCCCATTTATTTGATGATGGTTCCAGCTGGCCGCCTATATGAAACGTCCGAGTTGTCCGATATCGCGTTGTCTCATCACGTTCAACGAACCGTGCAACCGTCAAAATGTAGTCACTGTGACACCCTTTCAATCCTTTATACGGTGCAATGTATCGATTGTGGGTCGCAATGGCACAAGACGTGTTTTCCTAAAGTGAGTTTCTTCACAACTACCATTTTCTTCTCTTCATCCCATCCTTTCGATTTTATTCTTTATCAGTCTGTTACTTCTATACAATTTCCAGTTTGAGTGAAACTGTATTGTTGTTGTGATCTAGAGTGCATAAAAATATCTTGAAATAGACTTAAATATCTTAAAAATAAAATTAAATGCTCTTCTTCTTTTGAATAAGCCGCATAACGTTGGAGTCAGGAAATGAATCTACCACTGATCGGCCCATAAAAACCAGGGTTGGTCCTTGCTAGCCTTCCTGTTAACTAAAGGCAACCAGAAGCACTTTAACGCACCTAGTTTTGGCACTACTTGTTCTTCCACAGAAGTCTTTCTTTGTGCAGAAAAGTGGAAAAGTAATCCAACAGTGGAATCATCCTCGTAGAAGAGAATTAAGCGAATTTTAGTTTGACGAATCATTATGGTTTGGTAACGTAAATCCACTTAATCACTCGTGTATGAACTCACTGAAAAGTCCTAGTGCGGGATGATCGGTCAGAATATTTCTCGGGGTAATTGGTTTCTTAAAGCTTTAATGAAGTCACTTATAAGTTCATACATATGTATATTCTTAAATAAGTGGTTAGGAGCTCTGTGGAATTCTATAACAAAATCTCTATGCATTAATCGTCTGTGTAATTAGATAGCAATGGAGTTCTCGGAAAACTTACCGAAAATGACGTATTCGCATGGCCATCAATTAGTGGACGTGTTGTCGTCCGAGTGTCTCAGATGAACACTATCATAAAAGCGTCGTTTTCTTGTTCAACAATCGCGTTTTTAAACAGCATACATTTAATTCCATAGAGAAACACAATACAATACAACACTAGCTGACGTTTCGGCAGTATCGCCTTCTCCAGAGCTGCTTTTTACGTGACTTCCAATGAGGAAGTTTAGAACAGCTGATTATAGTCGCATATTGTTGATGACTCAGTCATCAGTCAGTCATATGCGACTATAATCAGCTGTTCTAAACGTCCTCATTGGAAGTCACGTAAAAAGCGGTGGGTTTTTCGAAAAACTGTTGATCATGTGATTGCCATAGGGTTTCTCTTCTTTCTGTATGTTATTGAAGCGTTTGGCCTAGTAAAGTGTATACCAGTATACCTTTCCAGGCTCTGAAGAAGGCGATACTGCCGAAACGTCAGCTAGTGTTGTATTGTATTGTGTTTTTCTATGAAAGTAAATGTATGCTGTTTAAAAACCTCGCGATTGCTGAACAAGAAAACGACGCATTCATATTCCAATGCCGAGGTTAATAGAAAGTCGATCCTGGGAGCTATCATAGAAATCTTAACTCGGCAAAAGAATGGTTATAACCTCCAGAAATGCTAATAGCGTGTTCGGTCCCCACCGCAGACACCTGCGGTGCGGAGTTTTGCAATTATCTGAGCATCATTGTGGTAGTATTTCACATAATACCTTGTCGTGAGGTATTCTAAAAGGCAGTGAATAAAAAAGTTAACAGAGTGGATATTATTATTACAGAGAATCTAGTTGCTGAGTGTACAAGAGCGTCTGCAGTTCATCGTTCAGAATACTGTAATTAAGTTCTCCATCAACAAAACATTGAGTACTTCGTAGTTGAAAGAATCACCTAAATCTTCCATAAACGATGGCGCGTGTAAAACAAGGGAAAGGCATAATCGGGAAAACTACAGCTTATGTAACGTTTCTTTCATATTTTAGAGAACACAGTGCGAATTGTTTGCAGCTATAGAATAGTTGCAAGAATCGGACCGCATTGTTGGGAATTAAGGTGTTTCACCTTCGCGAGTCTTGGAGTAGTTGATTTAGCGCATTCCTTGCTTTTCGCAGTCAACATTTGCCGCTCTTAGCACTAACTGGAGATGGTCATATTCTTCGGACCGTCGAATACCGATTAGGAAGGCAATAAGGAAAATATGGTGGCATTTACTCTTAAAAATAGGTCTTTAGTTATAGCCGAATTCTTATCCATGGCGAGCTCTTCGAATATTTTTTGTGCAAAATATTCAGTGTTTTGAGCCATTTTAAGTTGGTTGATCTTTGAGTTTTAAGTTAGCCAACCTCTCTGAATTCAAGGTCCTTATTCAGAAGAGGACCAGAAGGCCCGTACCATTGTTTAAGAATGGTGACCTCCAGGATGTCGGCAACTATTGCCCAATTTGCTTACTGTCTGTCTTCTACAAACTTTTTATTCGAGTAATCCTAAACAGGATTGACAGAACACTGGACTTCAGTACGATGAACCACATCCACACGATAACAAGACTCGTTGAAGTATCCAGAGAGTACAAAGGACCATTTATCTCACCGTCACTAATTTAGGAAAAGCTTTCAGGTGGGTCGAGATAGGAGCAGTCATGCAAACCGTGGGCACTCAGGTAGTCCCTACTCAGTGCATAAAAATTCTTTGTGAGTTGCATAAAAATTTTACAACCAAGATATCACCATTCTATAACGATATTAACATCCACGTCCGACTTTTTATTAACCTCGGCACTGCTTTAACAATTTTTTCCACTTCAGTTCAGCAAACACGAGGTGCTATTTTATTTCTTTATTTACGTACAAGCTGACGTTTCGGCGGATTTCGCCTTTCTCAGAACCTGGAAAGGTCAAGCTGACAGCAACCTATTCGGCCAAACACATCCATAACCAAACAAAGAAACTCTAAACCAAGATTTCAGTCACATTGAACACAGCTTTGCACACTCACCGTTTTCTATGAGGCTTCCACTGAGTATGTCGCGTGAATACCAACCGCAAAGAGTTCACATGGAAGCGTAATGTTTTCCTCCCATCAGAATAAGAGGCTTATATACTGTCCAATAACATGTATGATAATGAGGCATTCTTCCCTGCGGTTCATTTTCGGATTTCTGGAATTAATCCAGAACGCCTAGAGAGTTTTGCGCTCTTATGTTCTTGATTCGTGTGCGAGGATCGTGACACGAACTTCAAAGTCCTCTCCGTTATGTCTAAGACAGATAGAATCTCGTGTTTGCTGAACAGAAGTAGGAAGATGTTAACATCGTCGATAAAAAGGAGTTAGACAAGGCGATACTATCTCACCAAAATATTCACCGCCACCCTCCAGAACGTCATGCGAACATTGGAATGGAATAATATGGGAGTGAAAATCGATGACCGCCAGTTACATCATCTCCACTTTGCTGATGACATCGTTCTTATAACACTAAGCATTAGCCGAGTGAAACGAGTGCTTGCTGACTTTGATAAAAACTGTGGAAAAATTGGTCTTCGACAAAGTCTCACAAGAATGATGTTTATGAAGAATGGATTGGTCACCTCTGTCCCATCCATGCTCAACGGTACCAATATCTCCGAATGTTGTAGTTACATCTAGTTTGGTCGAAAATCAACATGTTGAACGGCTTAGCTCCAGAGCCGAAAAAGGAAATGGGCGGCTTAGGGAGCTTTCGAGAAGATCGAAGATGTAGTGAAGAGAACAATGAACACCCGACTCCATGCCCACCTGTTCGACTTACCGGTACTTCCTGCCTTAACGTATGCATCAGAAACCTGGTAGCTGCGTCAGCAGGATGAAGGATCACTCAGTGTCATCGAACGCGCAGTCCAATGAACGATGCTAGGAGTATTCCGTGTAAGTATGGAAAGAGATCCGAAGCTCCGACCTGGGTGAACAGTCAAAAATCAAAGATGTTGTTGTGTACGCCAATCAGTAGAAGATATGATAAGCCGGACACGTAATGCATTTGACCGACAACCGATGAACAAAAGCCGTTAGTGAGTGGATTCCTCAGGATGTCAAACGCCCTGCAAAAAGACCTTTGATCCGATGGTCAGTTCTTCGCGAAAAGCCTAGAAGAAAGGCGTGTTGTTCAACGAGTCCCTAGGGCGAGCAAAACGCACTGGCCGAGTCTTGCACGTTACGAAGAGAAATGGAAGATTTACTGGAGCTTGCTCGAATCACTCGAGGATAAACAGGACAAAAGGTGATACAGGTAATTTGCGAAATCTAGCATCTTTATTCATTGCTATGTCAACATTGATCTATTTTCTTGTCTGTGCTGCTTCAATAGCTCATTGACTCATCGTGGCAAGAAGTGTTTCTCAGTGACAAATTGCGGGTTCATCGTCGAGTTCATCTGTCAGCAGATCGCCTAAATTTGGAAGGACTTTGCTGTTCTTTCTGAAAGCTCGGGACTTGTCAAATCTCTACAATTATTTCCGTGGAGAACGGTCGTTTTAGGAATCTATGAAAAAGAAGATCCTTCCATAACATTATTAATCTATAAGAAACTATGCTTGATCTGCTCATTCAATTTCAATCTAACGGATCATAGAAGAGGATTATACTAAAGGTATTGAGTGATTATCTAGCATCACTAGCGTTAACTACATTGGAAGCTATCGCATGGGTCTTTTCCATTTCGGCCTTTATTTTTTCCTGCTTTCACTTAATTTTGTGGAGCTTATTCATTTCCTTGTCTGAAGCATCTTCAGAAAGAAAACTGAATAGCAGAATGAAAATGTTTCTAAAGTTCATAGGGATACGGTTTTAGTTTATTTCAAGAACAGTTTAAGTCACCCCCAAAAACATTTCTTATTCGCAACTGAAAATCTGAAGTAAATAGTAGGTTTTCCGGAAATGAGTGCCCGATTTTAAATCTCCTTCACCATGACATATCTCAGCTCAGAACAAATTCCCTTGTATCAGATAAAGACCATTAGAATCTAAAGATTGTTATCTACAAAAAGCAAATATGCTATTGATGCTGCATACAATGCCTAACTTCTGGTAGCGGTGATGTTGTAGAAGGCAGCTGCGAGCTCAGCTCGATTCCTGAAGCATTTCTAGCGCAGGAAGGTGTCCGGATTCTTGCAGAAATTCCCAAGACCGACTTTCTATTAACCTCTGCATTGATTGATAAGTCGCTGATAGCTGTAAGACTTACATCCTTACTTAATACTTGAAAGGCGGCCCTCACTGGCTGTTCGGGCCCCAGCATAATC